ATAAATGGGTGGCTGTTAGACTATGCACAATAACCCACATTTTGTCATGTAAATGAAGCATTCTAGTCTGTGGAGCACTGAATCATATTTAGCACTCTGCTGGCATCCTTTCTTCCCTTCTCAGTTTTGCAGCAAGAGTAAGATTCTCAAATCAGCCAAGCAAAGCAGCACATAAATGGACATAAAAAATAACATATTAGGACACCTCTCAAATTGGAGCAGGACAGGACAGCACAACAATTCCAAAGGACCCGCCCAGATCCAACTGCTGTCTGGTCAGAATAGTGTTACCTTGCTGTCCTCCTGCTCCAGATGGCACGTTCATAGTAGCTAAAATGTTCTGGAGGTCACTCAGTTGGATGGGCTGGGTTGGGCTGGTGGCTGAGCTGGTTCCATTACCCGAGCTGGGCACAGGGCTCGGGCTGGTCACAGATGCAGCTGCAGGAACGGCCGGGGCAGGCGTGACACGGGTAGAAGAGGTTGTGGAAGATGGAGTCACAGCAGCTGACTGGCTGCGAGAGCTGGAAAGACATTGAGGGAATTAATTCAAAAGGCGAGAAGCTTTGCCTCTTCTTTCTAAGAAGTTTCTTTACAAGCCCTTACAAAACAAAGGGCTAATAACCTCCTCTGAGAGAACCAAGCAGCCTTAATTCCCATTAAATTTTCTGTACAGTAGGCTATCATTCCTCCCATCTACGTGGCAACTTCACACTAGAAAAATAAAGCAGACTTGGACCAAATGGGTGCCCTACCTGGATGATGAACTGCTGGTCGGGGGTCCCCCGCTCCCAAGTAGGCTGGCCAAGCCAGGACCCGTCAGTGCACCCAGCCCACCTTCCATAAACATAAAAGAAGAACAGGTTTAGAAATGCATTCTTTTTCAGGTTTCCTGCACCTCCCTGGTCGAGAGAGGTCACTCTTGTACCTGAAAGGTTTTATTTGCTAAAACAAAGGAGGAGGGGGGTCAAAAGAGCCCAGACCAACCCTCCCCATCCCTCTCTGTAAATACACAGCTCTCATTGCCTGATTTCACATCCCTATTACAGAACTGTCTGAGAAGATAGCTGCACATTTTGGAAATACTCCATTTCCAGATGTGCACAAGGATGAAATTACTTTGGTTCATGCTGTACTCACATGATCAGTGTAACAGAGCCCTTTCCCTTCATCTGCTAGTTTCCAAAACTCCAACTCTTCTCTAAAACCTAAAGCCAAGGCCCTCAGCAGAAGGGTGCAGGGGCAGCCTCTGAACCACACTCATATATCTGCATTAATTGCAGCTTCACATCTAATGCAGAGATGTAGCAGAAACAAGCGAGAGCCTTAAGCATGTCACAGACAGAACAAAGACCAAAACCGACCCCGCACAGAACCAAAGCGCCGCGGGGAGAACAGTGATCAAGAAACACAGCAGGAAACCAACACCTGGTCTTCCAGCAAACTGAAACAAACAAAAGAAATGAGATCAGAGCCTCCTTCATCCCCACTGCTATATCTGGCCACCGAGAATTACTGCAGCATGGAGAACACCAGCTAAAAAGAACTGGGGAAAGGTTTGGCTCCTTGTGACTGATTGTCCCCCTACGACTCCTTTGAGCCACATTTGCCAGATGCTCCATTTACCACACGCTTCCTACTCAGTATTTTCTTTACTACATCTGATTAAACACACTTTCCAACCCAAGCATCTGTATTTATCATCCACCTTTTGGGAACTGATCTGCAGAGGACAGAAGCGCGCCATTAACAAACACAATTAAAAACTGTACAACACTGGAGTCAGAGAAGCACCAGCCATCTGCCCAGGACTCTCCTCTCTATAGGACCCAGTCGTGCAGTATGGAATCATGCCTGTAACACTGCTCATCCATCACAGAGCTTTCACAGCAGCAGGATGAAGCTAACCAGGCTGCATCGCGTGCTACTTTATTCAGTTTGTCCTGGCTAGGAAAAGTTTACCCAGGAGCTGCAATAAAAGCAAAGACCTGAAAGAGATGCAAACCGGATGTAAAAGAATCAGATGCTACTCGGGGAAGAGATCCACAAGGATTCATCACAACCCATTTGCTGAGGCAAGCAGATGAGTTATTTGGCTTCACATATCAAGCCATCTTATAGCTAGGTGTAAAGGCAAAGAAAGAAGAGCTGATGAACAATGTGCTCAGAGTATGAGGAAGCAAGTTTCAGGAGTCCTGAGAAGCTTCAAGAAGGAAGCAAGAAGGTCTTTACCAAACACATGTTAAGAAGCTGGAATCTTCCATCTGCACATCCCAACATCAAATCTGCACACGAAGCTTACAGAGACACTACTGCTAGATCAGCGAAAATGGACTTTAGTCACTGCCACCTGCTAAGCATTCCTTTGCCTACTTCCACACCAAGGTCTGACTTCTCAGTAAATGCTCTACTGGCCTTGGAGCACAGACAGCATTAAGAACAGACTGCTGCAGTGACTCCAACACAGCTCACGTTCCCTTTAGAAAAAGCAGAGCAGTACTTCAAGCTCTCCCCAGTGTTGCCCAGAAGAGGAAGCCCTCACCTGAGCTTTCTTCTATTGACTACAGGTTTCTGCAGGGCAGGTGCACTCCAACCTTCCTCTTGAACTCCACTTTGCACACAAATAGTCACTGGATCAGAAATAGCATGAAGGTATCCCCAGCTTGACAGCTGGGACATCCACCTGGGAACCCTTGGTTTCCTGCTCCAGTGAATATTTAGGAGGAAGAGGAGGGGACTTATTAGGAAAAAAAAAAAAAAAAAAAAAAAAAAAAAAAAGGCCAATATTCCTTGCAGCCTGTGCTGTAAGATGAGTGTCATGTAGAACCTGGTACCCATTTCCTGCCTTTTTTTTTTTTTTTTCTTTTTTTTGGGCCCCTTAACTCATCTCTGAGGCAGAGCCTTGCTTTCTCACGTGACAGAAGTGCTATTCAAATCAATAGCACTACTTGGAAATATTGTCAGGTAGGATTTAACCTGGCAGGAGAAAATACCACTTTGGCATAAAGATATTAAAGCATTTTACCAAGTCCTCCTAAGCCCGTTGGTCCGATCAGCTGCATGAGCTGGTTATGGCTCATGTTTCCAAGAAGGCTTTGCAAGCCACCCTCACCTAAAAACAAAAACATTCTGAAACACAACATATTCACATAGGTTTTTTTTTCACAGCACTCCAGCTCAAACAGCAGGAGATTAATTGGCATCACATTCTGTATGGAAAAAACAGTTGCAAGTGTTTACTGATTCACGATGCTCATAAAAGATAAATGCAACTTGGCTTCATGAAAGGTAAGACTCCAGAGAATCTACTGAAAATATACTTCATCTGGCAGTCTTAGCTTTCAGTCTGCACCTATTAGCACAACACAGTTTATCTTGCTAAAGGCATGTTTACACTTTTCCAGTATTAACACTGTCCCCAGCTCACCCTCCAAAGTCATCAGGAATTGCTCCCTAAGGAACTACAAGTGCTCATTCTAACACAAGGTCTCTCACGTGAAGGAGCAGAGAATGGACTGTACCTCCTAATGCTGAGAGCTCGTGGCCTCCACTCGCATTTCCACCCAAAGCACCAGGCATTGGGGGGTTGTTGAGATACTCATTCACTTTACGGCAATGTTCTTCATCCTTGTCTGTCTTTGGCTCCTGCAAGAAAGTTCTTCTTGGTACAAGGAGAACTGCAAGTCATTTATTCCAACGCTTTTCTTATTTACTTCCCACAAACCTGCATCCAGAAGAAGAGTCGTTTTGATCCTGCCTTGAACTTCAATACATACACACGGCCAGTAGTACACTGAGGAACCCTTTTGAATTCACAATCATCAGGAAAAATAATCAAATCCTGGAAAACGCGACAGAACAAACAGACATTTCAGGAAAAACGTGAACATTACTGTTAGCCTCCCAGAGACCTCTGGTCCCCTCCCAACCATCTGTTCCAAAGGGGATTTATAAGGGTAAGTCTGTCGAGTCATTGTAGCATTCACGTTCTAAACCACCTCAGAGCTCTTCCAGCAGGGCAGGAAACAAGGCCAAGGTGACACAGTGCGTCAACACCTCAGCACTGAAACACAAAGCCATACTCACATCTTCAACACTGCCCGAGGTCCTGTCCTTCCAGCAGAAATGGATGAGGGAATCATCGGTCTGCTGGATGTAAACAAGGCCTTTCCTCTTGTCCGGGGTCACAGTGCTGCCCTTCAGCGACATCTTTCCTGCCCGGAATTCCACCAGGTATTTACTCGAAGAGCCGCGGGAGCCTGGCACCAGGCTCGGAAAGAGCGCGCCTGAAGACATCCTGGGGACAGAAGGATGGGCTGACACGACGAGAAAGCTCTCACGTGCGCTGTTCTCAGCGTGACACCACGCAACGAGGCCCCTCAGCTCCAGAACCGAGGGCGCTACGTCAAAGCTAAACACAGAGCGGGGCGAAAGCAGGACGCTGCGTGCGGCCCCGTTCTCTACACGGAGCACAGCTGCCGAATGAACTACACAGGATGAGATCACATCCCCGCAGTTTCCCTTTTGGGCTGGCACCACGGCTCGGCAAGGCCGCTGGGCCGAGCAGCCCCCACCCGGCGGGCCCTGCCCCGCGCCCTCAGCCCGGCCCGGCCGCCTTCCCAACGGCAGACCGCCATCTGCAGCCCGTCCCGCGAGGCCGCCGGTTACGGCACCCCTCTGGGCCCGCCCTCCCTCCAGGCCGCCCAGCTGCCCCCGCGAAGCACAGCAGCCCAGCACGGAACCGCGTGCCGGGCCCCTCCCTCCCCCCGCCGGTACCTGCCGCCTCGCCGCCCGCAGGCCCTGCGCCGCTCCCGCTTCCTGCCCCGCGCCCCGGAAGTCCGCCCGCCGCGGGGCGGGGCGAGCGCCCCCTCGGCCCTCCGCGATTGGGCGACGCGGTTGTCATTCGGTGGCAGAGCCCGCCCCCCCGCCCTGCTGTGTCATCACGGCGGAAAGATGGCGGCGCCCCCATCCCCCCTCCGCCAAGCAGAGGTCGCGACCCCCTCTCTTCTTCAAAATGAGCTTTATTCGGATTTACAGCTTTACAGTGTAACATTGACGTCCGCAGACCTGTACAGACTTCTCTAAAAAGCCAAAGACGGTTGTTAATAGAGACGGGCATCGACAGTTATTAAATATTACAAAAATAAATGCATTTCACTCAGCGGTTCGGCAGGGCCGGGCCTCATCGCAGGGCCGGGCCTCGCCGCCCCTTCCCCTCCCTCCCTCCGACCCCGCTCAGGAGCACACGAGCAGCGGTGCCGCAGGGCAGAGCCACGCTGAACCCTTTGTGACCATTTTGGGGGAAAGCTGTGGAGATTCTGGGAGCGCTTCAGCCAAAGAATTTCCACTGCTTGGTCTCAATTCACTGAGAAACAATTTTCAGTCATTACACAGCTGCAAATGCAGCCGTTTGGTTCTGTTTTGTTGTTGTTGTTTTTTAATCTGACCAATTCAGGGCACACTCCTGTCCTTGTCATCAGCCATCCCACAAGCACCACTGAGGCAGCTGCCCCCAGCCCTCAGGCACAAAGTGCCCAGTGCCCACACAGCGCCCTCCCACAGAGCTCTCAGCAGCCACTCCATCCCTCCACCAAGGCATCATTTTCACCTCACGGCCCCCCCTTCCCCCCGGCACTCAGAGCTCGGATTTAAATCACTTTTTGCACAACAAACATCGTGGTGACCATAAGCGACCCGGCCACCTCCAGCCGTGTCCTCACACAGCTGCCCCTGCCTCCCTGTACACAAACCTCTCTCACCACCTAGAGGCCCGAAGGGAATTAAGCATTTATTATAACTTTCTTTCTAGATGGTTTCTCTACAGTATTAACATATACTAACACAGTTATCTTATATACAGTGCTTAATCAAGTTATAAAAGTGACATTCTTTTAAAAGGTGCAAAGTTATGTTCTGACATGTAAACTACTGAGGCGAGATCTGCATTTAAAATACATTTTTTTCCACTTCCAGAGCGATCGCCATGTCCCATCGGGCACCCCGTGGCTCGCCAGGCAGAGACTTTTCAGCAGCAATGAGAAAATATTTTGTAAATGTTTTCAGTGAAGAACAATAAATTAAAAGAACAGAGTTGGAACCCATTCGAGATTTCCCTAAAAACCATTACACTAAAGAGAGGAGCTAACTCTGACTTTAGGAAACTTGCCAATTTATTTTTAAATTACATGAAATTCCTCAACTGAAGTTTCAAAGAAACATGGTATAATTCTGTGTTTGCATAATGAAAACGGTGTTTAAATTAAAATTCTAATCCAAGAGAAGAGAGATGCTAACCTGTCCATTCCTTGTTAAAAACATAGTATTTACCAATTACTCTGCATTTTTTCCATTCTATTCACATGCTTTTAAAGAGCACTGACTCCAACCTTAATTATAATTTAGCCTAAGCAAGTTTCAGTCTCCTGTGAGATGTTAAACTGGCTTAGCCTGTGAATCTTTCCAATCCTCATCCAGTAAGAATGGTTCCACAGCAGGCAGAAAATCTGCAAGGAACATTCCAATGCCTGGAACAGCAATTCAAGTTGATTTTTACACAAAGACTCAGAAGTATTTCTATGCTATCCCATACTGACCAGCAGGGTCTTTTTAAAAGTCCAGCATCTGAGCGTTTATTAGAAACAAAATATAAATTTGTTCTCTGAGCCACATTACCACATTTAGTTTGTGTGTAAAGAAAATCAGAAAGTGTGATTTCTGGCAACAGAACAACGTTGCCATGAGCACATTTCAGGTTAGGCCTTTTTATTGCCTTGAATTTTTACCATTTGTCTCAGTTTTCCAACGAAGAAGACAACTAAATCCCCCAAATTAAAGTTAGTCCAATCATGTGGTGCATAATTTGATACAAAAATGTTTCTCCATGATTATGTTACCTTTTGCTTTCTAATCCTATCACTGGGATAGAAGCACAACCTGCTCTTCAGATGAAACCATGAATGTGTATCGGCATCAGCTGGATCAATTCTTCCACAAATTCCTCAAGGTGCTGCTGTTTGCACCAGTGATCTCTGAACCACTGTAAGCCTAAATGCAATGCAGCCACTTTCCTTTTTTGCCCAGTTCCTCAAAAGTTTTCATTAAAAAACAAACAAACAAAAAAAAACCCAAGCAACCTCAGGATTAGTTTTACTTATTAGGCCTAATTTTTCCAGACTCCTTTCCTCTCTCCTCACCAGAAGTGTATCACTTGGAAAGAAAATTAATGGATCAGTCCAGTAATTGATCTGTAGTTCAATTATTTCCATTATATGGCTTTGACGTTTCAATATGGAACGAAAAAATTCCACTTTTATGACATCACATGCTCACAGAAAACATGTAATAGGTAACTATGCCACAGCTTGAAATTGATTCTGCTCTTTTACAACATACAAAACAGACGTGACCTAATAATGAAAAACATGCAAACAAAAACATCCCAGAAATATGAGATCTGTGTGGATATACATACCAAGTGCTTCCAAATAAAACTTTAGTCTAGAAGCATATTTAGTGCCAAAGCTGCCAAAAGTAGTGCAGAAGATCTAAGCCTCCAAGTGGTAGCAAGCAATATATTTTACATTGTAACCACCTCTGCATTCCTGCAATTGCTCCTGAAGTTCCTCACACTTTAAGAGCAGCATCTGACTTCAGAAAAAGCAGGCATCATTTAATGCACCTTGCTCTTAACACGTGTTTTATGTAGTTTTATCACAGGTATATAGTTTAATGCTCACAGTGACCAGAAATTGTGAAGACTTTGTAACAGATGACTACAGTTTGAGAAGCTAAAGTTGTTTTTTTGTTTCTCAATGTCTTTGAATTACTGAATCATATTGAGAGAGGGGGGCCAGCAGCTCCAGTCCCCACATAGTGCTACATACTGTATGAAAGTTTCACATGCATCTCTTCATGGGAAATAGCCACAGTACTGGATTTGATCATGTTCGTACCTTGTGAACTTTTCATCCCTGCTCCAAGTTCTGAAAACTTAGATTCCTCACTACTCTAAGTCAAGATGGTATTATCTCTATTTTCTTAAAGTTACATAGTTTTCAAGGATGTTATGAGCTCTACCAGATACAGCATACCTTCCTGACAAAAAACTAGGGAAAAAATGGAGAACCAAAGGTCCCTTTAAAAATTAGTGAAAATATGATGATTTCAGGTGTAGCCTTATGAAAAGAATGCAACAGTGTTTAAATATTTGGCAATCCAACATTAGTGACCATTAAATCCTTGACTGCTGACTGACAGATGTTTTGTTAGGATTTACTTAGAAAAGCTGAATTTTGTTATTCACAAAACCAGGCTAACTGGCTTACAATGAAATCTAGTAACTAGATGTCCAGATGAGATGAGCTATTGGTTCCATTATTTCAATATATGTCCGGACAGTCTGAGAAATTTCTATCAAAATAGCCACCTGAGTACAGCCAGTCTGAAGTCCCGGTGTGTGGGTTGGTGCCTTGATGAAACCACCTGGAGAACAGAAAAAAAACAGGCAGTTAGGAGGGGGAACAAAAAGCCCAGAACTTTGCTTCTTTCCCAACAACATTATTGAAAGACTCCGATATTTCTTACTGGAGGAGCCTCTGCCAGTATTCTGAGCATGAAAAACAAGGCACTGAGCTTCCTGCACAGTGGTCACTGCCTTACCATTCATTCTCTTTTGCATGAAGTCAGGAAGGAGTACAAAATGGATTTTCAAATTGCTGTCTTATTCCAAATAATAGACACCGATATTTTTGATCATATATTGATAACATACCATTATTTTTTACTTTGTAAGAGTTTTTAAAAGCAGTTTCTGAAGTAACCATCCAAAAAGTCCTAGAAGTTTGAAAGTAAGAGGCCTTAAAGGGCCACAACATGCTACTCAACTGCCAAAAGCTAGACAGGAATTGGCTATGGCACAAAATGGGACTTAATGTTTTATTCAGTCTATGAAAAAGATGAGTTCTGAGAGCTTAAAACAAAATCAAAAGAACAGCATTACCAGTTATTTATGACAGGTTTCAGCATTTATTATAATTTCCTAGCACAAAATTATCAGCAATTTGGTTTTCCAGCTCCGTTATTTAAGAGATGACCAGCAAATTACCACAAAATAATACAAACTGTGCTGTCATGCAGGAAATCAAACACACGTTGTCTTCACTAAAAGCATTTCAGGCAGTGAAACAGCAGCATTCAGAGCATTACACAAGTGCCCAGCTTGCTGCTCCTTACCGTGTCCGCCACTCCACTTCCTCTCTCGCACGCTCCTTGCGAGCAGCTCTTTGTTTCTCCTCTAGTCTCTCTTTTTCTTTACTAGCCACATCTAGCAAACATTTCAATGAGAACAGTTGTTTAGCAAAATGGAAACAAAAAGGCAGAAAACAGGGAAAAGACTGCAAAGAAATAAAACATATTTCATTTGAATGAGAGAAAGTGTTTGCTGGACACAATCTGCTCAACAATGACAACTGCAGGTGACAAAACTAAAACTGTCGTATCAGAAATGTTGTGACTACAAACAGAGTACATGGTAAAATTACAGAGCATTATCCACCCAGACAGTGGGAAAGAATTTACATTGAGTATAACAGTGGTTTTTTTCCCCCTACTATCTGATAAACACCAAAGCAAGAGAAGATGCGTGCCAGCATCCCCCAACAAACATGCAATGTCCTCCAACACGGGACAGCAGTCTTGAGATCCACCTGGGACACACTTCTCTCCCAGGCTATTCAAGGAGAAAACAGACATTATACTGTACAAAAGCATGATCATGATGAAATGATGTTAACATTGCTTTGAGAATAAGAGACTGAAGATATCATTCCACAGCAAACAACCCCCATTCAGTTACCCCTCTCAGATGTTACCAATGTGAAAACATGTTCTTCAAACACATACCCATGTTTCCATTTTCCATGTTTCTGATATCTGGCCGTAGCCGACAGTCAGTGGGAGCTAATATTGCTTCCATGCCCTTCTCCAGCTCATTGAGACTCACAGCAAAACTGGTGAAATTGTACATCTTGAAGGCAAATTGTAGACAAAACACACGTTATTTTGGCAAAGCAGTAATAGGCTTCCTGTATTGAATGGATACAACAAAGCTTCTAAGAGAAATTACTGAGTCAAACCCTATTCCATCTGCCACCTTGAAAGCAAGACAGGTTCATTCCAAACTGACTTTTTTTTTTTAAAGAGGAGGGAGGAGCAGTATGGAGATCACAACAGTCTTTGCTTCAGAAAACAGAAACGTATTTCCTCTATATCTGATATTAAACACCATGATTTTTCTTTATAAGGAAAAAAGTAAACATCTAAAACTAAGAAAACAAGTCATTTGTCCCAGGAAAGCATGCACGTTTTCAGTCATTAATTTCAGAGAACATTAACTTAGGTTAATATCCAGATGCCCAGTTACTGCATTTTTGGAAGCCTGCCTTCCAACAGCAGGTGAGCAGTGGGGAGCACACATCCATATTTCAGCCACTCCCTGCACAGAGGTCTCACAGATCACACAGTGAAGCAGCTGTAGTCAGATCACACATTCTACCAACTCTGCTGCTTTCAGCACAGGAATGAAGCAGACAGCTTGCTTCAGTTTAATTTTGCTGCTGAAGCAAGAACTGCCAGAACCTGCCAAGAAGCACACTAAGGACAGACACTTTCAATAGGGCTTCCTTTAAACATTACTCATGTTCCCTAGGATGTCACTAGTGACAGGAACACACACATTGATTGAAACAGTTACCTGTGATGAGTTGGGTGGCCTACAATTTATTCTCCAAAGCAATTTACTGCCTGGTATAAACTGCACGGTGTCTTGAACTTCTGGCATATCGTCAGCCTCATCATTTTCCGATTTTATAACATCCTCACTCTGAAACAAAGACAACACCATTACTCCCTCAGGTTCAAATGAGTCCAGACTGCAGTTCAAAGTACTTTCTGTAATGGCAGAAGAAGGATAAATAGCACACGCTCGCCTTTTGGATCCCTACTGCTTTGCTTGCAAAAGTACCTTGTTTATTTAATTAATAAGGAATGAATTAGTGTGTGAGTTCATCAATTTTACTTTAGCTAAAACATGCCACCTTTTCACACTGAGAATCAAGCTCCACATCAGTTTATATACATTAATGCACGTTCTGTTTAAGTTGCAGTAAGAATTCAACAACTACTCTTAGAAGAAACTAGTATTTCCCATTCCCAGAGAAGGCTCTGGCCTGCACTCCCACTCTCAATGCCATGGTATGTGCTAGCAGTGGCAATCTCACAGAGCTGGACTATCATTTCTGAATTCTACCTGAGGGCGGAAAACAGGATGAAGATTTTTATTTCATCACCTCACTATTTTTATTCCACCGTTCACAGACCTCAATCACTTTTGTTCTGGCTATCTATTCTAGGAAAAAAATACAATCTGGTTCTGCAAGCAGTTACAGGAAAGAAAGAGGCTGCACACAGCACAAACACAGCAGAAAACATCTTCCTCATACAACTGAAAGGCAAGCAGAGCACAAACATATCAAGCATTATCTCTACACAGGATCAGACCAAACAACACCAGCTATAGTGTTTAATCCACTTGAGCTGCACAGACCCAGATCCCCTGACAGCTTCCCTTGACTACCTGAAGACCTGCTTTTGCATGCTTGGTCCCTATCATCAGACTGAACCACAGGAGAATGTGTCTCAGAACACAGCTGCCCTGTAAAAGTTCAGAGGATCTCAACATGAGAAATCACCTGAAAGCACAGCCATCAGAATGGAAGAGGCAATATCTACTGTTAGAGTGTCACAGTTCTCCTATTTTCCTTCTGCCTCCTCTGATGTGTCTCATTTGCTCTCTTCAAAACAGTTCCTCCTCTAAATATAAATTCCACAGGAAGGAAGGAAGGAAGGAGTTGACTTTCTTAGGGTGAACAAAATCTTATTATTTAAAAATAAGTCAAAATACAAGCCTGCACCATGACAGAATCCAGAGGCAAAAAACAAGGCCTATTCTTGCTCTGGATTCCCGTCATGTGAGTATTTAAAAGACAGACTGAGTCTCCCAAGCAGAAGCTGATCACTCTCAACTTTAGCTCATCATTTTCATTTCATACAAGCAACCAGAGCCCATGAGACTTTTGTTGACACTGGAAAACACAACAGTCCTCTGCATCACACTACATTTCGCATTTTCCATATAACCCTGAGGCTTTGGCAGTAACTTATCTGATCCGGACACGTGATGAAAAAAATCCACAAATTCCCAGACCCTTCTGCTTTAAAGGCTGTCTGCACCAGAAATTCAAAAAGGCTGCATCACCCAAAAAGACATAAATGACTTAAACATGGTACTTAAGGAATTTTCTTTTTAAATGCCTACATTCAGATATTTTCACATCTAGCAGCAGCAGTACAGACACTTTCTTTGTTGAAGAAAAGGCTTGGGAGCTGATAAACGACGACAACTCTGACAAGTCTCTAGCAATCACCATTTCTGTAAGTTCTCAAATACCAGCAGCTCTCACAAAGCCAACACAATTCCAAAGTGCAACGCCTTCTCACAAAGCTGCATCCCTCAGACCCCTACCACAAGATGAACAATTATAACCCTCCACGTACCACCAACCCAACCATTTCTGAAAAGAAGATGATTTCCTCTCATTTTATATATTTTGGTATTTTTACTGCCTATAGGATCCTTAATCTTACCGGCTTCAATTTCTTTTGCTCACCACCTCTCTTCTCATTCTTTTTGTAAGTCTCATACGTGGTGGGATCAGTGCACCACAAGCATTCTGTCCACTTGCCATAGATGATGCACAGCTTCTTTCTGCTGCAGAGAGAGCAAAGGAGAGTTAGCTTTTGCTTCCCATAAGGCCTTCTAAGCCAAGTCATACAGATCCTGGTCTGCATTAAGCACACAGCTTCCTACCCTGCTGTCTTTTGTTTCTTTGCGGATTTCTTAGAATCCAGATACTAGATTAATGCAAAGAAAATGATTCACCTTCAACTAGTCTTTTTGGCATTCAGTCCTGCAGAACACATCCTCATGACTTAGTCACACACCTTTTGCTATTGTTAAATGAGTGTGGGTGCAGCAAAGCCAACAGCTTGCAGTACAGACCCCAAGAGTCACACAACAGCCTTGGGCTTGATTAAATACTTTCAATAACTTCATTCTCATTATTTTAAGCTGAAGAATGAAATTGCAACTGTGCAACAGTGAAATCAGCTTCAACTACTCTGTGCTTTCCCTGGATACCTTCATTCCAAGTGGCCAGACTGGAGAGTTTCCTAATACTGCTGGAAATCCTCATCCCAACTGAGGAATCTTAATCCCAACACTGAGAATGCAAAAGGTTATAAACTGCATTGCTAACAACTCTGCACTCACAGCAGTCAAGGTCAGCACATCAACACTAAAGCAGTATCTATCACAGTGCACAGAAACAGAGAGGCCAACAGACATAGCACTTACTTTTTGTCCTGGATGTATCCCTCTACTCTGTGAAGCTCTTTTCCAAACAGCCCACACGGTTTAAAATTAAGGACACATTTATCTCCAGTACTGCAGAGAAAATTTCAAGTACACACTTCAGGAAGCAAGCCCCTAAACACATTAACAAGACCATTTCCCCCTACCCCCACCCACCTGCACTTTATTTTAGCTTTTTTTCTTGTCAGTAATGAGAGGTAATTATTGATATCATAATTTAACTCACTCAGATAATAAACCATAGTTATCACAGTGAGGTATGTGGCCAAGTTTCTATATTAAGCACAGAGAGACCATCTTGGGTTGCAGGTGTGAATTTAAGCGACAACTGCAGATTTGATGAGGTGGAAGTACCAGCACAGCAGCCTGTTGGAATAAAGCTTCAATCTATTCACACAAAAAACAGGTGCTGTATTACAGGTGCTGCATTCTTCTGCAATAAAGAAGTTTTCCAAAAAAATCTCCTATTTTACAGGAGATTATTCTCTCCTTCATTTTACGTAAAGTCAAAAGCTTTTTTTATAGGCAGTTGGCAGAGCAATTGACATGCTCTATGTTCACATTATACTACTACTCTACAGTCATTTATCTGTGCTGCACTCTTAATTGAATACATTTTCTATTATCAAAATTAAAAGAGAGCCAAATGAAAATCAAGCTGATGGAGGTCTACAGCACGCTTCCAGCAATTATTCCATTTAATGGTTCTGGAGTTATATTTAATTTCTGTTCTCTGTCAGTAAGGCTGAATTTGAATAGGTAACTCACAAATGCAAAAGCTTTGTAGCCCATAAGCCATCTATCTATTCATTTGCCTTTTCATTTACATTATGATGATACAAAGCTCAGCCCAATGAATAGTTTGCATCTGTCAGAAAATGGGGAAAAAAACCACTCTGGGCCTACAAATACTGAAGGTGTGTATCCCAGGAAAGTATCTGCTTTGTAACACAAGTGAAAAGGACCACACACCAGCCCCAGGGTTGGCATTACCTGTGATTCACGATTTCTACCGTTCCATATTGTTCTAGCCACAGTTTACCAATAATTACATTATGTACACAACAGGTTGGATTTGTCCATGTGTAAGCTTCACTATGTCTGCAAAGAAAACAGAAAAATAAATCCCTTTCTTGAGCTTGCAGTGGAATGTAAGCCTGTTGGAGCTCTATTTGCAGCAGGGCAAAATATTTACTGCTCCCATGAACAGCCAGCAGCTAACTTCAAAACAGAGAAGAAACAGACTTTTCTTTGTAAGCCAACGACACGCTGCGTGTAAACACGAGGGCGAGTTAACAGTGCAATATGCCCTCTCCTTTTCTTCCTTATTAAAGAGTTGAATTAGCAAGTTTTACAGTTGCTGTGCTTTTGAATACAGATTCCAGCTCAATAAAGTGAGCTTTTAAAGTTGCCTGTGATAGAAAATAAGGCTCGGATGAGAACTGGACTGACAAGGCCTAACATTGCCTTCTACTCAGCTGCTGCAGCAGCACTGCAGACTTGTTCCTAAAGCACTTTCTTGTAAACCTGTATCATAGCCCAGAGAGTTTGGTTAGGTTTTCTTATAACTCAAAGTGGTCCTCTGAGTTTTCCAGCAAAAGTTAGCCTCCATCAGATTAGCAATCAATCTGGTTAGCAATCAACCCATGTTAGAAAAGCATGCAAACTCTACTTTAATACAAAAAAAAAATTAAAAAAGCAGAAATAAGCAGCATCCTCTGTAACAAATGCCTTGGGCTCCTAGTTCCATTAAGCATGGAGCAAACAAACATACTTAATATTTCCAATTGTCAGAGAAAAAAAACAGATCAACAAAGTCTGACAGTCTTCCACAGCAAACTATATTCAGGTGTACTTCAGAATAACAACTACTCTTCAAGTGGGGGAAAAAACCAAAATCATCCCCCCCAGCCTTAGTGTATGCTTTTATTCATGAACTTATTGACAGCAAAATCCATCAAGCATAAAATATTACAGAAGACATTCATGCCCTGTGAAGATGAATTGAGATGTTTATTTGTGCTGGAAAAGTGGGGAAGAATCGTGCTTTGTAACACAGAAAACACAGTCAGAGTCAACACAAACACAGTGCTTCAGCCTGATTGATGATGTTCCCTAAACTTAAGTCTGGCCCAGAATAACTTCAGGCTTCTCAAACCAACAGACTGGTATGAATCACAACATTAAGGAGCTCAAAATCTGAGCTCAGCTTCTGCTGCTAACTTGATGCAAATATTTAAACCAAATGCTTTAGACATTTACACTGCAATTTAAATCTGTACGGTGATTTGATTAGGCAGAACAAGAATCCTAATCCTAAAGGCTCTCTCCCCACCAGCACATATTTTTGTCAAATCTGCATTCTACTCTACTGTTCACAGTCGTTTCTACATCCAGAGGAGATTTCCTCTATTTACATCAATATTTATATCCAAGACCAAGTTTTAAAAGATCAGATGCCAGCAGCTTGACAAACAAAAGAACTTTCAAAAGAAACTACAGGAAGAGTCAATGCTTTATATGGCAGTCAAGTTGCCTCTTTATTAAGACCAAATGTCTACTTCCTTTCTACGTGAATGCCTATCTTCAGAAGATATTTTAAAGCAACCTCAAAGTTAGGCCTGAGGAAAGCTTTTGAAAAAGCATTTTTAAGTATTCAATTGCAGAATGCCTGGCACAAACCAGCCTGTGGACAGCCACATGATTTGAAACATAACTGATCAGGAGTAACAGGGAAAGGCACTGATGATTTCACTGGAAGCTGACAGAAATCCTGAGGAGCTTCTTGCACTCCGCCATCACACGAGGCGGTCACTCTGAAGCAGCAGCACTGTTCACACACACACACGCAAGGTTCAAGGCATTTGCTTCTCATACTCACTTTAGAAGCTCCAAAGTAATCGTCCCCCGTGGCTCCGCTTCTATGCTCTTTCCCCAGAATTTCAATTTGGGGTAGATTGAGCCGTGAAAAATAAAGTCCTTATTGAGGCCTTCAGAATAAAATGCACTAATAGGTGGGTGGTGGCTGACTTGCTCAGATATAAACCTAAATCCTAAATCCTCCCTATCAACACAAGAAAGAGCATTACACACTTAGTCAACGTACGGGAAAAGATAACAGAACTTGATACTTCCATGCTTTTTAAAAAGGATCTTTAAATTACTCTGAAGGTGATGCTTCCCAGCCCCACGACACATTTGAAATTAATAAAATGAAAGCAATAATCTTCTGAATACTTTTCAAACTGCTGTTTATACCCAGAATCAATCCCCACTGAAATACCCAAGTGACTTCCTACCTAGAAAAGCACCTGAAGAAGTTTGTCTGGAATAACTCTCAAAAACTCTGCAATTCCTTGGGCAGCAGTAGGAGGTCTGACTGGAGGTTTTTCTCTATAACTGATGTATCTCCCATTTCAGCAAGCTGAAAGCCTCTCAAACTAACTTATCTGATAGCAATAAGCACAACACTCTTTAAAATTAGTTAATATTCTCTGTTCAGGTGTCTTCAGCAGAACTTCAACTATTTATTCTCTGAACAATTCTAAGAATACCCTGCATTAACACAGAAATAAGACTACTTCTATAAAAACCTCTCAAACATTTTGTATTAGTTAGGGAAAATAATTTTAGCTAAACTCAGAAAAGTATTAAACATATTTTAATAGTTTTTTATTTACTTTGGTGAATAAACAACCAAGCCAGTGTGACTGCCTGCTCACACAGCCAGCCTCAGATCCCAATTCAATTATTACCTTGTTAATTCATAGGTTTCTCCTAACAGGGGGTTAAATGGTTTGCCAGTTCTCTCCCACTGAGAAGCTACAGCAGAAACTGCAAAAGCAGCTACAGCCTGTAAGGAAATAAGAACACAGTTATATTAACAGTTCGTTAAAACTGGTTTTTTTGTTTGTTTATTTTTGTTTCTTTGTTTTTGGCATAGTACAATATTTCATTATTCTTCCAAAAAGAAAGATCTATATGTTGCTTAATGCCAAAATGCTGGCAATCCATGGGATATCATATAGAAGTAGGGAAATAGAAGCAGTTAACAAGCCTATCATTCCAAAAGGAGTCATTTTCTGTAGTACATTTTGCCAGGTTGTACTCTGTTCCATGCTCCTCTCTTACCTCTAGAAATCATGGAGCCATTCAACAATTCAAATTAATGCTTGTGACCTATTTTGGAAAGCTCAGGAGCCTCTGTGTCACCAGGGCACAATACAACTTCATTTTAAGGTGATTTAAAGCCAAGATCTCATCTTTATAACACATAAATACCAAAGAGTCACAGCTAAAACAGCCCTGAACAGGCTGAGGGCCTTGGGAAGGGTCAGTTGTTGCACTGCCCTGCTGAAGACCTTTGTGCAAAGTATCAAGTAGGAAAGCATCACACATAACTCATGCCAACCACTGTATAACAGGAAATTGCTCTAGACAGACAAACATGGCTATTCTTACAACAGCACTGGAGAAGGAGATGCACTCAAAAGAAGGGTTGTATTAATACAAAAAACCCTTGAGAAAGAGAAACCACTTCTGAACTAACAACAAGCTGGTAGCTGGGACTTGCCTGCATTCTTTCCAAGGGATCTGCATGACTACAAGCCTTATTAATGAGGTATATGTGTTCCATATATTCAGTTATCCGCTGAAGGAAACTCAATGGCTCATTGAAGACAATGGGCATCGTAATCTTAGACAACTCCTAGGTAACAAAAGGACAAGTTAATTTCTCAGAGCATTACGTTATCAACTGACAAAACTAAGAATACTGAAAGTAAGCTGTGGGTTAGTTGAGTCGTCAAGTGTGTTTGCAAGAACACTACAAGTCAGCAGCAGAACTGGAACTGTTAGAGCTGAAAGGGAGTAGAAGCACTGCAGAACTCTACTAGAGATCAGAAAGAATGAAAAAAACTTTAAAAGTTGATCCAACTAACCCAGTAAATTCAAGAAAAATGTTACCTTCTACCTTCTTGTGTATGTTCTACACAAAAGAGGTTAAGATTTCTGTAGCTAGTGGAAATGATGCAGCACCCAGCTCATTACAGGTACCCAGGTACCACACACTTCTTTGAAAACCTCACATATCTGTATGCATAAAATCTAACTATTCTACTGCAGGAATCACAAATTATTTGTTAGGAGGAACAGTTATATAACAATATCTGAATTGCTCTAACATATTTTAGTGGCTTTATTAAAACAATCTGTTATTTCCATCAGTATGTCTCTCATTTCCCATGTGGATACAAGACACACAAAGCTCACACAGATTTCCAGCTCCCCAGGTCTTTTACTATTTGCCATCAAATCTAGATGTTTATTAAAACACCTGCACTAATACTGGGCACTTCCATCTTTTACATGCTTACAATTTAGTGGAGCAGAAAATGCCATCAGATAGTTAACACAACAGTTGCTTTCCATTGTCACAGGCAGTAAGGAAAAGTCACTCCTGGCTAACCTGATTTGGTCAGGCAAATCGTTCTGATAGAATGTCATCCAACCCAACCAAAGGAGTTTTGATGGTACATTTCTCTCTCCTAGATGACATAAGCTAAGCTGGCAAAGCAACTCACTGACTTGCCTGTCGCATTCACTAAGTACTGTGCTGGCAGATCTAGAGTAGATACGAATGTCTAAAACCAGCAGCAAAAAAAACAATAACAAAGAAGAGAATGTTGTGTTAATCATAGCATAATTAACTATATTGTTAAGGACTTCAGCATAGCTCTTACAGGACTGTGTTAGAAACACCAACTTAAGTGCTCCAACGGCTAAAGTGAGAAAGGCAGCAGAGTTGGCAGTTTAAGATTATGTTCCTTGCAGGAAAAATACAAAATGCAGCAGGTATATTCTGCATGCAGGTTTTAAGGAATACAATTAATGAGTCAAAGTCAGAAAACTTAATATCAGCATACTTAATCTAGGCTAACTTACCAGTCCAATGCACTTTTTTAATATGCTCCACACACTAAAATCACTTCTAGAAAACATTGGGGCAGGCAATGATGTCCTATAATTGGAAAAAAAAGAACAGCAACAAGTCTGTCACTACAAGTTCCTTAAAAAAAAAAAAAAAAAAGCATGTTTTAATTTACAGGTACCAAAGTACTTCATTTCCTTTATTAAGCATTAATTACCATTTGATATTGGAAGCAGACAAGTGGAATGCGTTTCAGTTTCAGAGAAACAACCTCTTTCTTGGTGAGAACAGTAATACCCCCAACAATCACGATGCAGCACGGTCATTTCTCATTTCCTGCACAGTGCTGTGCATTTACCTGTGCCTCTTAATTCCATTTTCCTGAATCTCCGTCTCTCCGTTATGCTTTCCAGTCCTATTGCTTTGGTGTGGATCTAGATCAAGCATTTCTGCAACTTTATGATTTGCTTCTGAAAACTCTCCTGAAGAATTGTCAGAATCAAAGCCTGTATGGAAAAAACACACAAAGCAATAACTTTTTGAGGGACCTTATGATGCCACAGAGCATCACTCACATTTTACAACTCTCACAGCATAAGCACGCTTACACAGGGTCACTTTATTCTAAAAAACATCAGAGGGAAGAACTTTTATCAAGTGACCAAATTCCCAAGAATTTAGAGCCAAGTGTTGCATTAGAATCAGGCATTCTCATCTGTTTTTTTTCATGCTGCCAAATATAAAACCAATTTAGAATCTTACAAGCTCTTCAATAGCTCCTAATCAGCTCCATTGCCTCTTCATCAGAGCCGTGATGTGATTATAATAATTTTGTTTAGCTACGTAGCTTTCCTTAAAGACCTTAGAAAAAATTAATTTAGTCTACTCACACTATCAGATACAGAGCAGTTAAGGAGGAAAAAAGCCCATTTCACAACCTAGTGGCAAACATCCATATTACTCCAGCAACAGAAATACAGGATATCTAACTTGTTTGCCATCCGCGTGTGCAAACTTCACACATAAGAACCCAAACACATCAGAACAAATTCTTCAACTGCTGAACCTGCAGTGCTGAAGCACACAAAACATACAGGCATCACTCCAGACAAAAACAACGTGGTAAGATGACAGCATTAGGTCATAGCTACTCCTCCCCTGATCTCCCTTTAAAACTACTGAAAGCCTACACTGTAAGAAAGGCTGCATGCAATTCAACCTCATCCTTTAAGAGATTAACGTGAGATTAGGTAAGGACAGCATCACCAAAAACGGAGCAGAACAGACTTCCCTTTTGGTTCTGCAGTCAGCAGAGCTACTTGGAGGAAAGTTCTGCAAAGATTTCAATACATGTAAGGACAAACAGAAGCCTCAAAGTAGTTTGAACATTCCATAGAAGTGTTAGAAAAACAAAACACTGGTGAGGGATTGGTCTAGAAAGGAGAAAAACACCAAAATATTTTGAGGGAGATGTTTGTTAGACTTGGAGATTAATGAAGGATTTTTAAATTATTTTTCCATTTATGTTTGTATTCCTTTCATTCCAGTTATCACAATCCAGGCAAGCACTTCCCTGTGCTGACAGTCACTATCACAACTAGGTGCAGCCAATTCTGAAGCCCAGCTGTGGATGCAGAAAGAATCCCAGGTGTTACAAAGCATGTAAGTACCCTCACAGAGTAAGGAAATTAGTTTTGACCAAGATTATTTCAGTTTCAGAGTAAGAAAAACAATGATTTTGGGGCATTAACTTCATTAAAAATGCAGATGTAAAGGGTGATGTCGCATATTAAACCCTCTCCTACATTTTGATGTTACAAGTGTGTAATTATACAGCAATAATGACACCTCAGCAGCTCTTAGTACTTCACTGGAAAATACGATAGTTGTATGTAACCAGGCAATGGAAATGAAGATTAATCTGAAACACCTGCCTTCAAAGAAAAGCAACACCTGTCCATCTTCAGTCAACCCGCAACAGAAGAATAGTTGTCATTTTTAAAGGGCATTCCTAATCACAAATTAGCTTTTTAAGGAGCTCATTATGGTACAAGGAGATGGAGAAAGCAAACACCGTAGAGTATAAGGAAATAGCTTTGACTAATGAAGTGAGGAAAAACATGTGGGCTTGCAGGCAAACGTGCCCTCAGCCAGAAAGCTGATCAGGCCCACACAGCATATGGACTGTCATCACATTTAATGGGCATTCTGATCAGTTAAAGCACCAGGCTTTCCACTATGCTTTCCATCTTCTGTAACAGCTGGCTCATCTGCTCCAAGCCCAAACAGAAGTTTTAAAAGCTGCTTCTCAATGAAATTCCAAATGTTATAGTTCTGAGGAGAACTATGAGACGATGTTCTTCACAGAGGAAATACTGACTGGAATATTTACTGAAATGCTCTGTTACAGTTTTTCTAAGTTCCAAGTCTTTCAAGCTACCATTAAAGCCTTGAACTTGCAAAACTGAGTATCTGAGCTTCAATACAGGCCAGCTTTTGTACTGAAATAAAGCTTCAAAAACTAACAGAGTCAAAAATTAACTTAATCAAAAAGTCCCAACCTCTACGTGTCAAGGATAAACCCAAGCTTTTAAAGTCTTCAGCTATCAAAGTCAGATGAACTGGTTACCAATGCTAACCCATTTCAAGAACTTAAAGAAAAAGTACTTGCCAGCAGCTCTAGTTCTCACAGTCCTCTTCTTCCCCATCCTGCAGATGAAACAAGCCCACTAAGCCATGTTACACATCCAGCTACGAGGGCACAGCGCTGCGTACACTGCACACACCAGGACACAAGACTGCCCTTTCATACACTCAGCAGCTTCCTCAAATACTAATTAAGGTTTGTCACTCAAGACAGAAAGAGAATCAAAATAGCAAAGTGGTGAGAACCTTCATACCTAAAAAGGTTCCTCCAGATTGGATAAAAATGCTGTAAGTGCGCACAGTGAGTAAAATAAGAGGCCACTTTTTCTCAGCCAGAAATTAACTGTTTCTCCCCCTTCCAAACAAGTCAGTCTCACACTGCATGGCCGTATCGTGCTGCTTCCAACAGGAGGCAGGCTGGGCTTTCACAACATCTGCAGTACTTCAATCCTGGGGCACAATCTGCTGATTGAATCCAAACACGATGGAAATATATACATCTGGCAGCAGGTAGCACACTTGCTCCTCCCTAGGAGGAAGCAACAGTTTACAGCAAACAAGAGCCAAGCAGTAGGAACAGCAGGGCAACCTGCTCTCAAACACACTGCACCAGATTGACCTCATAGATGCGAACAGGCGTCCATGGAACCGCAGGTTAATATGTAAAAAAAAGTACAACAAAAGCTACTCAAGCTTATAAAAAATAAATTATTACCCTGTGACTAACTTACTGTAGTAAGCATTCTGCTGTTCTGTGCCAATCCTTCCACAAACCACTTTGGCAAAAAGATATCTGACAGAATTAATGAAAGGACTGACACAACAAAAGTCAACAGCACAGCCTTTAACAAATTCAAAATGAGGTTAATAATCCCAAGGTGATGCAGGCCGGAGCGAAGTGATCAAAGCCATGTGCTGACATAAGATTTTGAAGAATCTGAATTCATCAATGAATTTACCAGCTTTCCTGATCCAATCTCAGAGAAGTCTTCCTCCTGCATTTGAGAAGAATCAAATGCTGCACTGCCAAGAAATGACAGGCATTACACACAACATCTCTGAGATGCTCACAGTAATACTCAGTCCTGAAGTAAGGACGTCATGTGTCCAGCTAATCAGCAATGACAATCACCTCTGATCACAAAGCAACTTCACTCTGGAAACTCTTCCCCAGCCAAACTGACTCATCAGCTACACAGCACAGTCCACCCTGGACATTTACAGGTGTACTCATCATCAAACATCATTGGGTCAAACCACCTGCCAGGAGGATGACTCCCAACCACACAGCATGCAATGCCATCACATGAACATGACTTCTGGATGTGATGAGGACAGTGTCAGAAGCAGGAAACTTCACAACCTAAGAGATTAAATCCATCACAACAAAACCCAGGGGTCCACAGGGCAGATCTCTATTTGAGAAGTGGATGTCATCAAGTAATAACTACAGAAATGTTGAGGCCTTCTCAAGGAGTGATCTCACATTTTATAAGGGAGAACACATCACACAGGCTAAGATTGCTGCAGAATTCTAAAGCACAACTTTCCAAGGAGTTTCACTCCCCTGCTAAGCCTTGTTTGCAATTTGTAGGGCAGAAACAACAGCATCCAAACTACTAAAATCAGGGAAACTGTGGGAACACACTGCAAGCCCCACCGAGGAATGCAGAGCCCAGGACAACTGGGGAAGCAAGTGGAAAAGAGCCTGGGGTACATACTGTGTTCATATCAGCAGGGAAATGAGACACAGCTGGAGAATGAGCTTGTTCCTGGTAGCCACATCCCAGTCACAGACTTAAGGGAAAACCAGCACGTGTCTCAAGTTGGCTTCTGCCCATCTACTGCTCCGACTTAAGGAATGGAGAGTATGCTCAGAAAAAACAAGCTGAGGAGTCTGCCAAGGGCAATTTGCTTTTTTAATCAAAACTGAGAATCCTGAATCCTGAAGTTCTTAGTGTGGAATGCAAAAGCTTACTATGACTCAGAAAGGACCTCAATTCTGAGCTTAATCTCCTGGGGATACAGAGCATACACCTGGCTGCTTCAGGAACCAGCAGAAGAATGCAGACAGACCTATTAATAATTGTTCTTAGCATCACATTTATGTATGACCTGAAGAAGTCATAGATACAAAGAACTAGGCCTAGACTTTACTAGGCTTGTGCAAGTAATCCAACAAATGGACAGTAAGGTCTAAAGCATCCAGCTGGAACAAGAAATGGAACATCTGTCTCTAGAGGTACTCTCAAGGGAGAAAGACTGAAACAACTGTGACAAGTCCTGCACAGTCTGCTGTCAGTCACACTGTTCCAAACAGCTCTGTTCCTCACAGGAATCTCCAACCATGTCTGAGTCCATCTCACCTACCTGCATCTACCACACTACTTCCATTCTTTGGCTTTCATGACTGCCATCATTCTCCTTCATTCCCCTGATTTCACATCAAGTACCCTACACTCACCATTGCCAGTATTTCTCATTTCACCTCAAATTTCTAGGGAAAAATTTACATGGAAAACTCTGAACTACTCTGGGATTTTTGAAACTACTTTTTGTTTTGCTTTTTCTTTTCTTTTTTTTTTTTTTTTTAATGAAAATACTTAAAAGTATTTCATTTTGTCACTAAAACCACATAAGGATCTTACCAGTAATCACTCATCTTTATTACTTCAGAGAAATGCACTATTTGATGCACTGCTCCAGGGCGATGCAATTCCTGTTTGCTCTTCTAGAAACAGCACTGCATTGCCAAGCCTTTCAGTTCCCTATCCAGAAAGCATGCTTTTACAGCAATTTGTACAGATATAGAGGAATATTTCTCTATTTCAATAAGTTTTCCGTCAAAATAAATTGAATGACAGTGAAAATAACCTACAGGAGATATTTTCACCTTTCAAAGGGCCTTAAAAGCATTACTTCTCAAGCTGCTATAAAATTACCTGCATCTCATGGAAAAATGAAAGCAAGACTGGCCCTAAAGAACTACTACAGTGGTAAAATAATAGCCAGCACTGAGCTTTAAAGAATAAAAATAAGATGAAATAAATACATATTTCCAAGCCCAAACGTTTCTTCTTTTCAGAACACGGTACTACAAGTTTCACAAGCACTTTTCATTCTTTATTCCTTAGCTGTAATACATCTCTCGTACCTTACAGACACAATGCAGTTCAGAGGTTCTTTTTTCCCCTCCTCCTTTTCAGCACTGCCCCCCACTCACCCGTAACGGCATCATAGAACTCTTCTTCACTGTTCATCCTTCAGCGTGAAATCTCCGTACAGCCAGCTCAGCTTCCTCTAATGCATCATTCAACTTGATTGAGAGCTTAAGTGTCTGTACGCTTTTGAAGTCTTCTTTTGCAAGTTCCCAGCCGCTTTAGATGATCTATTTGACAAGACAGGGAAGAAGAATTAGCAACTCGCAAACTCCTTGCAAGCACAAACACACACACTTGACAGACACTCATTTTCCTATTTCTTCCCACGACAAAAGAAAGCCTTGGATTCTTGCATTCATGAAACAGTCACTAGGACTCTGAAGTCCTCCTGAAGATCAGTGCTGCTTACCACAAGAACAACCAAGATGTTATGTCACACTTGTTCTCTCTACTTAAAAACATTATGTACGCTATTATAAAATATACTCTACTTACTGCAAGTTACATTTCAGACAAGGGCAGCGAGAAGGAGAAGGAAGAGAAAGACAGCTGGCAAAACAGAAATCCCTTCTCAGCCAAAAGATAAACCTGACTGCATTCTTAACCAAGAAAGCTGGGAACAAGTAAAAGAACTTTACCTCATTGTTACATAAAAATGTAGGGCCTTGCTGCACACTGTGCACTCAGCAACTATTAGGTAAGTTCTGTCAGCTGCTGCTCTGAACGTTTGAATGCACAACAGGAGGTTGTGCTCTCCAGATAGAAAATGTAAAGAAACAAACCTTTTTCTCACTAAAGCCAAACACGCTACAAATCACTTACAGATTCATGAAGCATTCCAGCTCTGCTTTATGGACAGACTACATTAGATTTATTCCAGATGGTTGGCAATGATGTAACATAAACATTTTACTTCACTCATCTTTAGTCAAAGCAAAAGAATCAGAAAATTTCGATTCCACCCCTGCTAACCCTCACCAGGTACCAGTGCTGAGCCAGGCACACAGCAATGCTCCAGCTCCCCCAAAACAACCTCAATGTGTCAGCCTCAATTTTTTTCTGATCCTTGAAGATCCCACTGCTTTTGTGAGAGTGGTTTTTCCAGAGTAATTATAACATGCACAGTTCCATTCCAATTAAGGGAAACAAAGCCAGAAGCACACTCTATTCCTAGTAGAGGAGCTTGCCATGTTTAGAGCCAGTTCCCTCTCTCCACTCTGCAAGACACCAAACTGCACGATGCCCCCTGAACTTCAACTCTTTTCACCTCACTGCTCAGCACAAAGCTATGTGAACGCCTCACACACTGTCCTTCCAACTCTCTGTTCAGAAGGAGCAGCTGAAATGGCCTATTTTACAGCTCCTTGCAGTTAATGAACACAGTGTTGAAGCATCACACTTCTCAATGCCAGGTTCCTGACTGTCACCTTTTCTCTAGGAATAACCTCTTTTGCCCACCATCACAAGATTTTCATCAATCTCTGTATCATTAACATCTCAGCTTCCATATAATCTTCAGCAGCTTTTCCTTTACAAGTCCTCACCTCCGTAAGGACAGAACTTCACACAGCTGCTTCTTTTGTGTGTTGCAACACTCCTGTTGCAACTGCTTTCAGCTGAACAGTTTCCTTCCCTCTTCCTCGTGCTCCAGTCACAGACCTTAAAGCAAGAAAGCTGAAAAAGGCTTGTCAGCAACAGATTTCTGACTCAGGTTAGTCAAACTGCCTCGATCTCCCAGGGAAGGATGCAAGAGCTCAAAATACTGACACACTACAGACAGGGATGAATGAAGACTTCCAGTGCAAGGCTACCAGCAAGTGCCCTGCTTGCAGAAGGGAAAGGAGCAGCAGCTTTGCTTCAAAAAGATGCAGTGCAGGCTGCTGGCAGACAACCAGAAAAAGGCAGAAACCCTTTAGTAACTGGTTCAAAAGCAGCAGCTAGCCCAGATTTCAGGGTGAACCAAACAGGATGCTGTGCTTCTTCTCTAAACAGCAGCAGAATTAATTACATTGCTCTAAATGTCTACCTCTAACACGAAATGCACTGCCACAGCTCACAGCAGACAGCAGGGGAAGCTGTGCTCCAGCACAGGTCTGGCTGTTACCTGGCCTAGCAGAAGGCAGGTGCTGACTGCAGGAGATGCTCACACTGAAGCTGCAGTCAAGAGTCCCTGTGAGCCTTCCAGCCCCACCAGTGAAGTATCTCTTCTAGGTCTCCAGCTCTATCATACCTCTGATGAAAACCTGTTCTTGAGCATACACTTTTCAGACTGGAAGGGAGGAGAAGAGGGAAAGCACTAGTTTTCTTAGGATTCAACTGCCTGTAAGTGCTGCACCCTTCTAGAAAACCAGCAGCCAATATTTCCAAAAAGAGATGTGCATGCGTCCAGCATGCAGTTGTCTCATGACAAGCACTAAAATTCCTGAGTTTTCTCCAGGCATTCCCTCATGTCCCATCTCCCAGCCTTTGCTTTTCATCCAAGCTCTGGCAGCAGGATTCCCCCACCACTGCATACAGCTCATAGTAGGATTCCATTCCGAAGCAGTTCTACCCACCTGCAACATATGTATACCAGCTGCTAACTCACCTCTGTTTAATTATCACACCAAGAGCACACTCCCCCTCTCCAAACACATCCTGGCAGGAATGCCAGCATGCCACAGTCACTAAGGAATAAGAACTCTGAATTACTGATAATAGAGGCACTGACTACAAAGCTAACGAAGCTTTTCTATGAAAACAACCACCAAATAGAAGTGTGGTGACTGCAGGGAAAGACCTGAATGAACCAGAAGCCCACATTACACTCTGTCCTTGTGCACCTCACACCCCACCCCGAGCTGATCCTCATTTGAGAATGAGGGTTTGGTCATATGCTGTAAGTTATAGACAAGTACTGCAGCTCTCACCTAAAGAACAAAATATTCATGGAAGTTACTTTAAGTAATAGTCACAAATTGTTTTAAGGCGTTAGGAGAATTTTAAAAAGGATAAAGCAGTGTATTTTGCACCAGAGTCACACCAGGAATAACTCAGCACTCATATTACTTCTTTTAAATTCAGTTATTTAACTTAGCAGAGATTAACATGAATTTGCACACACACGAACGCAGGATGGTATCAGCATTTAGCTCTCGTGAGTCAAGAAGCAAGGACTGCTAAAAGCAACAGCAGAAAGTTACTCTCAACCAGGCTGAAGACAAAAACATCCTGTTTGCTTCATGTTCAGCATTTGTAATCTGTATTTCCTCCACACTGCTCATTTCCACACCAAGAACTGCAGTCAGCAGCTTCCATCCAAAGTGCAGCAGAGCTGTGCAAGGAAAGGTGCCATACACAGGGAGACCCATCGAGGGTTAGGTCTGATTCCAATCCCAGCAAGTCTTTCATAAAGCACAAACATCATGTTCACCTTGTTGGTACTGAACGTAGGTGAAATACAAAGTGTGTGCTTACATATGAAACCAGAGGTGTGAGACCCACGGCCAGGTGAGATGCACTGCCTGCTCTCTGCCGTTTGCACGCTCCAAAGCTACACTCCAAGGAAGGAAAAAAAAACAACCACCGACCGAAAACCAACAGATCCACCAATGACTGTCTCACTAAGACCTAAGGTTTGGATTCTAACCACTTGTGTACAGATTAAGAGCAACAACAAAAAAAAGCACAACAAAATACCAGGACCTGTCCAAAAATAAACCTGCAAGAGCTAAACGTGCCATCACTGTGATTTTGCTCACCTCACAGAACTAGTTACTCCATACTAACTCGTTCTTCTAGGTCAGCCTTCCACAAAGCCCCTGCTGGTTGACCAGAAGTTACTCCTCCTTAAAGAAACATTTACATTGCTGTAGGAAGTTGAACTTCCACTGCTGGAGCAGCTCATGCTGCTGGAATGCTGCTCAGCAAGCAGGAGGCTGGCTGGTGCAGGGCTGCACCTGCGCTGTCCTGCTCCTCCTGGCCTGGCATCCAAGTCTCACATCGTGCAGCACTCCTGGAAAGCAAATGTATTGCTGACACCACTCTGCTTCCTTTACAAATCCTGCTTTTTCTCTCCAATAGCACACGTTTAACACTGTGAGAAGCACAGCACCAGGTCGCAGCCATCACCCAGTCACCCCATCCACCAGCAGAGCCAGGAGCGCTTAAGCAAAACCACACATGGAAACAGTGAGCAGTTCTGAAAACAAACTGAGGCTGGCCAGCGTGAGGCTGGGCGTTGAGTTCAGCCCACTGGCATTAGAGAGCCACCAAAGAATTAATGAAGCAGCACATTCACGAGTTTTTTCACATGTCTAGCAAGGTTTTGTTGGATGTGTGCTTCCGTAGCAAATTTTAAAACAAATTCAGTTTATTAACTTGAAAGGAGAATACTTGTAAGGCAATATGGGGGAAAAAAAGGTTAAAAAGCATGAAAAAGGAAAAATCAAGCGAGGCTTTCATCGCAAAAAAGTAATGACAATTTTCTATCAAGTCTCACAATGAAAACACCACACAAATACTGCCTGACGGGTGGAACAGAAGAGGAAAAAACCTGCGAGCTCTGAAAGGACCCTCTGTTTTCAGATGTTTGCACGTCCTTAATGGGTCAGAAGGACACAAGCTCAACTTAACAGAAACCAGCTTGGTCAGAATGTAAAGTCAGCTTGGTGCAAAGGAAAGTTAATTCCATGGCCTGTTTAATCCATCTAACAACATATGTAAATAAAAAGCAGCATTCCTATTAGCACATCTCCTGAGCTCGGGATGCAGCTTCTGTCCAGCAATGGGTTCCTAAGGAGCCACTGGCAGATCAAATACACACAGCCGTCACACCGACGCTACAAACAAGCTCACAACCCTCCCAAAACATGACTGGTGAAGTAAGAGCTGAGCCCACATCTTCTCAAGTTGCCAGCTGAAATAAAACATAGCTGCTGTACTTCAAGGGACAGAAATAAATAGCTTGAACCAGAAGATAAATATTCATGTGCTTTTGCTCCGTATATATCTCCCGAAAGCATCAGACTGCAGTGTTTCATCTCTGAATGAAAGCTTCAGCAAGGATGAATCTTAATTGACTCGTGAAATTAGGTTACCGACAACAGTGGATCTAAAACATCTACAAAAAATTGCCAAGAAGTTGTTTTAATTGGCAATTTAGATGCCTGCTGTAATTATTATGCACTTGAGATCTCTTCAACCAGCAAACAGCTACACAGATGGCAGAATCCAGAAGTGGATTTTATTTACCAAGCTAGAATTGTTTTTTACTTCAACGTAATGCAATAGCAACTTCCACCAAGGGGTCCTGGCCTAACGAGACTCACCCAGCATCCCTGCTAAGAGGAGGGCAGCTTGCTTCTCAGCTCTGTGCAACGCTGAGCAGAGGGGCTTGGGGTGAGGGAAAGCCTGGCCTGCTGCCCCTGCTCAGCTTCTTTGCAGACTGCAGCTGTTCCTGCTGTGGGCCTTAATGCAGCTGGGAGCTATTAAATGCCCCGAGGACAGATGTGTACCTGCGCCAGCTCTGATGGGATGGAGCTCATTTTGTTCGTAGCAGCCGTTATTGCACTATGGTTTGGATCTGCTACTGGAATCTCCATGCTGTGAGCATCTGCAGTTAGAGAAGAGGTTGGGAAGGAACACTGCTAACCCAAATTAATTCCATGCTCAGCTTTAATGAAGAATCCACGTTGCTATCTGCTAGGTGACATTAACCCTCCTAGATAGCAAGAAGGTCGCACAGCACTCAGAACTACGTTCAAGACAAAATAAAGCAGTGTGTATGCAGTTATTTGTACCTCTACTATAAATAAAGTATTTCTTTTACTATTAAGCATCTCTCAACAGCTTTATTAATGTTCTGCAAAGCCTAGCAAGCACATGCGCACGGGGAAGCAGCTCTGCTCTAACAAATCTAGCAAACAAGCACGCTGCTGAGCTGACCGTTACGAAGGGGCTGGTGAGCTAAGCCCTCAGTAGCTTTAGAGCATGCAAGTTTTTTAATTGGGAGTTATTAAAAGGATTCTGGTTCTCACTTGGTCGCACTGGCACACTGCAGGGAGCAGAGCCCCTGTTGCCTCACGGCCAGAGCACACACACATCCCAGCACTCACACACTTGCCTTTGTTACACTCCCATACTATAATTAGTTCTGACCTATCATGAGTACCAAAGCACAGTGTGCTATACTAACAGATTTTGGAAGCCCTAAAAACCAACGTAAGAGGATGCCAGTGAGATGCAATGAAGTCACCAGTCCACGAGCATGCAGACACCTCAAAGCTTCACAACATCCCAACAGCCCTTATCTAAAGCTGTGCAACAGAGCAGAGAAACTGCAGTGGGACAGGAGCCCCACAGCTCCAGGCTCACACTAAATCCCATGCTAAGCATGGATGTACACATCCAGCAGTTTGGGACCATAAGACCAAGAGGTTCAGATGCAGTTCTGCAGCTGCAGGAATAATTTGTCCCCTGTGCACACTCCTGTCAGATTTACAGATAATTACAGGAAGAAAACATTATCCAGCCCCTGCATTTTCTGAATGGAGGGCAGCTGTAATTCACTGAAAATCTGTCTGATTCAATTATGTGCATAATAAGATGTACTGACAGAATCTGAAGGATCTGTCTAGACAAGCAAATGAATTTCCAATTGTAACTGCATATATTAAAAAAAGCAAATTTAAGTCAACTTAGTCTATTCTTATATCTTATTGATCCTGAAAATTAAGACATCTTTGTGCACTGAGTTGTTTGAGAAGAATAGAACCGAAAGCAATGCAAGTCACATTTGACACATTCTAATTGCTTACTCCTTCCATGCACGGAGGCTTTAAGACTGCAAAGTAAATAATTACATCATCATTCACTCTTTCACACAGTACATTGTTAAGAAATAGAGGTCTGAGATCAAGTATTCTTAATTGCACATTACAAAGTCATCTATTCCATAAACTAAAAAACATAAAGGAATCCGTATCCCATGTAACCTCTATTTTTTACATCAGGAAGCATATGAACATCGCCTTATCTTTCAAAGCAGCAGATAAACATTGCCCAACTTTCTCATGGGTCTCACTTCCCCATTTATTCAGCTAGATGTTGCCCCTGTGAGCAGCTGGATTCAAACTCGGCTAAAACATTCACACTGAGCACTTCGTATTTAACACACATTCTTTGTGGGTTTGATTTGCTTTCCCCCCCCCCCAAAAAAAAAAAAAACATCTTAGATATTTCACAGCAAACAGACTAAACAGGAAGCATTTAGGAACATCATGTTCCTGACAAGGACAGACAGTTCTTTTCAGGTGTCTTTGTGACTCAAGCGACAGTATTTGATGCTGAGTGAAGGACCACAAGAAAGCCAACTTGTAAATGGGAGCCCTGGTTACAAGCAGTCTGATGCAACATTGCACTGTCCAAGAACACGTTATTTCAAATAGCAAAGATAATTAATTATCTGCTTCAAAACAAAACAAATCCGTGTACATGCACGCGAATCTCACTTTTAAACACAAAAATTGCCTGGTTGGCACTGCAAACAGTTATTTAAAAATACAGTCTTATCAAAGCAGAAAAGCCTGCTGGTCCATTTTCCAGCCAACATGAAAATAACAGAAAGCTAAGCTTTCCACCTTTGTTCTAGGTCAGCGTGTGTGAAGTTCACACAGTAGAATTCACAAGAAGAAAGACTCAAAGCATTAACATTAATCATAAGATCTGTCAGCTTAAGCAGGAGCGTATCATAGAAATCCCTAACAGTTTTAAAGCTGATTTAAAGAAAACACCCAACAGTGAAAATTACCCTCCGTGAGCAGCTACCAAACCAAAACACTTACACAGATGTTAGCAAACAACTACTTGTACCTCACTCAGTGCCTTTAACCCATTATGTCTTCAACTGCTTTTCAAGCTATTTAAACATCATTTTCTCTCTTGAACTTTCGTCTTCTGTTTACACTGACGTGGCCAAAGAGTTTGTTTTGGAAAAAACAGCATATTTATTCCTGGACAGCAGATGTCTCAGTGCTTCCTTCTGAGCACTCCCTGACGTTCCGAGTTCACTATGAGGTACAGTTGGTTCAGGAAGGCAGCATCAAGGACTGCTCCCAGTCTCATCCCAGACTGCCTTCAACTTTCTGTCACGTGGTCATCTGCACGCCTTGACAAGTATTTTAAGACAAGCTGTGTTTACAGTAACTGAAACCCAGGGGATTACTGAGGGATAAATCTCTGCTCGGAACGTCTTGCTTCCGTGCTAGTTTAGCCAGTTCTCCTGCTTCCAACCCATAGTGCAGAGCTGTAGGTTTGGAAGTTACGCAAGTGACTGCTTCCAAAAATTGCCCTGAGGTTTTAGGAGTTCCGAAGTGTACTGATATAGAGCTTGTAGGACCACTTATCTGTGGTTGTACACTGCTGTCAACATGAGTGCAGAGTTACTGAATTTTTGAAGGATAAGTTGCAATTGAATGGAATCAACTCAAAAAAAAGACTATGAGAGAAATAGCGTGGTGCTGCTAACTCACACTGCAGATCCTGTAACTCACACTGCAAATCCTGTCTCTTTCTTTTTGAAAGTTTAAGTGAAGGCCACGTATTTTAACTGAGAAAATTCATGGCAAATGAAGATTTCTGCTCGCATTGAACGTGCTTTGGTGGGAAATGCAAGACTGTGGCCAACAAAAACCAGAGGACGATTTCAAACACAGGTTCTGGCCTGCAAGCGGAACAGAGCTGCTTCAGAAAGGAGCCCCGAGTCCGAACACACAAATGGCACACCACCACTCACACCCAAATCAAATCCCAAATCAAAGTGGCAACGTAATTAACGTATACCTCTGTCACCATGCAGAAGTTCTGGTGGCATGTTATTTAAAGGGAGGTCTTTTCTCCGTCTGTTTTGCTCATCTTGCTCTCTCGTCTCCCTCTCAGGAGCTCTGTAAGAGAAACACGGAGCCGGGATCTGCAGCACACAACTCCAGCAAAGCTCCCGCTGCGTCGTACGGCCCCGGAGCTCCCGAGCGGCACGGAGGCCGAGCCCAGCGCTGGAAACGGAGCCGCAGGGCCGCGCGCTGCCCGGATCCCAAAGCCGCGGACAAAGCGCGCAGCGCTCCCCGCGCAGGAGCCGGGCGCTGCCCTTCAGCCCCTTCCCCGCCGCCGCTCGGGTCGGCCGAGCTCCGCCAGCTTCGTTTAACACAGAAATAACGAAGGCGCCGTCACCGCTCCCGCCGGCTGCGCGGCCCGCGGCTTCGTGACGGGGAAGGCGGGGCCGGGCCGTCCGCGCTCCGACACCCGCGGCCTCCGCTCCCCGCGGACAGGACGGCCTCGGGCCGGGCTGACGGCCCCGCAGGGCAGCAGGCACGGCTCGCCCCGCCATAGGGAGGCGCGGGGCGGCAGAGGGGAGCTGGGCCCGAGGCAAAGCCGCCGGCATTACCTGGCACCGCGCTCCCGCGACGGCCCCGGCGCAGCACCCCCCGCTTCGTACCGCTGACAACCAGGCGGAAGTGCGGCCCTCGAAGCGGCGGAGTGACGAAGCGCTCCGCCAATCGCGACGCGAGGCCGCGCCCCGCCGGAGGCGGACAAACGAATCGGCGGCCTCGCCCTCCCGTCAGGAGGCGGGGAGAATGCTAATCAGGCGCCGAGCTCCGCGGCCCCGGGCTGCGCCGCAGCGCTGGGGAGACAGCTAGCCAATGGCAGGTGAGGGGGCGGGGGTATGTAGATGAGGACGGCTTCCATGAAGCCCCGCGGCGCTGAGCTGCCTCCTAGGGCGCGTTGCAGATGGACTGTGACGCCTCCGAGCGCTGTGGTGCTGCGGCGAGTTCGGCAGTATGTGATGTGTGGGGCACTTATTATTGGCCTTCTCGAGGGCAAGTTTTGGTCACCATCACCCCAAAAATCTCCTTTTTAAGGAAGGAGGGAGTTGAGAGGGTCGTTGGATTTTGTTATGGGGCTGGTTTGACTGGTTGGTGCCTCATGCATTCCATTTTTAGCGCTGTGTGGGTGCACGCAGTGTGCACGTTTCGGTTTAGCAGGCACAAATAGCAGTTACAGTGTCTATGTCCCCGGTTCCATACAGCATTAGGGTGCTGCTGCTCATGCTTGCTGGGCGCTGTGTGCATTTCTCTTAGATGGCACCACACTGCTTTTCTCTGCCTTCCCATTCCCAAGTCTGCAAGGTGCTTTGCCTTTGTGTGCTCTTGAATTTCCTCTGGGATCAAAGTGACTCAAAACTTTTCTTCCCAGCTGGTATCATTCCAAATCCTTTAATAACAGCTTCCTAATTGGCCCTGGATTTCCAGGTCCATTCAGCAATCCGTCAGCCTTTGGGCTCAGTGCTCAGACCGTAACAATCCCTACTGCAGCCTTGAAGCTGGGACACACGGGGGTAAAGCACGAACTGAAATCACCTCCTGACCGAGCTGGCCATGCTCACGAGCGAGCAGCTGATCAGGAAGAGCCTCCAAAACCAGCATGGAAGGAGAAACCCGCCAAGAGATGATTAAAGGGCACTGATTTCTTTGTAGCTTTTCTGATCTTAATTAAATATACGTTCTAAGCTTACCACAAAAAAGTCCCTCTCCCAGGCACTTTGTGGGCTTTGGAGTTAGGTGCCCATGCCTAGCAAAAGCACAACTAATGGCGCATTACTTCTGTTGTTCAATACTGAGGGGTTGGTCTCTAGCAGCCTAGGATCACTGATAGTAATAGGAGGGGGACAAGACTCCAGATCCTTTCTGGATCTGGAGATCCAGTAAGGGGAGAGAATAATTACCTTATAAAGGAGATGGCACGGAAGATTTTGCCTGTTGCCAGAAGTTTTGCAATGTTAGAATTAATTAAAACGGGGTTTTTCGATGGAAAGTATTGAGCAACTGCCTCGTACATCAGTGTAGCTGTCAGCTCCACCTGCAATCAAGCCAACTGTTCACCTATGATGGAGCAACACAATCCGCTTAAAAACTGTTCCAAGAAAATCTCATCACTGCAGCAGGGTTACAGATCAGGAATTGCAACAGAGTAAGGGAAGGCAAAATGGAAAAACTAAACACATTGATGGAGAGATTTAGAGATATTCCCTCTCTGGTGGGAACGCTGTCTTTCAACAGTGGCGTGTGAGCAGACACAAACACCTCTCCTCTCCTCCTTCCAAGGGAGCCCGTCTGCAAAGGCATCACCTCAGTGATGTGTGCGGGCAAGTGCTCACGTCTGCACCGTGCCTGGCTCTGTGCAGTCGTGTTGGATGTTAATTGTGACTCTTTGGGCAATAACGTGGCACACCTGTGTCACACTGTGCTGGAGGCTGTGCAAGCATGGAAGAAATGTTCTGCTGCCCACAGCTTGCAGCTGAAGGCGCTGCCACGTCCTGAAGGACAGAGGGCTGCAGCGGGCACCAGTGAGGCAGACATGACTTTGCTGAGTGTGGAACATCCGAATGTTTCCCAATCTGAAGAATAAAGGTTTTCTCATACAGCTTGTCCCCATCTGGCAAGACAGGTATTATAAATCCTATTCACTGCAATACTGTATTTCATGCTGCTGGCACTGAAAAAAGGAAGGTATCGTGACAAACATAGCATCACGTTAATTTGTTTCATATAGAAAAGACATAGAAAAGGCAGACATTGGTAATGCTGATAAGGTTTAATGAAAGACACGGTAATGCTGAAACCACATGAATTTTAACCAGAATCTCAAAGTGAAAGCAATTCAAGAGAAAAAGGAACCCATCAATAATGAGGAACGTGGCAAAAGCTGAATAAGTAGAAATAACCGGTCTGGTATAAAGCTGAATGAGCATTTTCTCTGCTATCGGAGGGGAAGGAAAGGCATGGCAACCTGCATCCTTCACTCCAGTGGTAACATCACTGGGAGCTGCATGTTCAGCTGAGGGCAGCATGGGATCAGAGCCACTTCTCATCACTATGAACTGCAGTTTGGAAAATCCGCACAGGCTGAGTTATGAAAGCTCAAAGGCCAAGTGCTGAGTGCACAGGGGCTTTCTGCAGCCAGAAGTTTGCTAAGATACATGCTTTCTCACGATGTCCCAGGGTTACCCTGCCGAATCTTGAACTCTTCTCACTCCACAGACAACTTTTGGCACTGGAAACTTCCACTTCCAGAGCTGAGCAGAGCCAAGCAGGGGCTGTGCTTGGAATTAAAGCAGCTGTGTACAACAAGGTCAGCTTCACGTCCCGGCTCACCTTCTGGGGATGAGGCTCCATGCTTTTTTGGCACCTCCCCAGAAGGGATCACTGGGACAGATCACGTTGACTCCCAGCTTTACTCACCCCACGTTGGTACGGCCTTTGTGAAGCACCACAACAACCTCTGCAGTGCTGGACTTTGGGAAACCCACTCCAACGTGCTCCTGCTCTTTCTGTTCCAGCAGCAAATCCGGGCCAGCTCCATTTTCCCAGAGCCCGTGTGCCATCGTGATGCCTCCAGGTTATCTGCCAGCAATCAGTGGTGCTTTCTGTCCTAATAGAGGTTTATTTGTCAAACTTGTCCACAAGAGTGCCTTATTTCGATTTAATTACAGGGTCTGCTTTTAGCTACATGCTCAGCAGCATGGCAAGCCATCGCTGTACTCTCCGCACCAAATTTCTATTGATGGATGGCAGTGCTTGCATCAGAGATTAATTCAACAATATGATGCTTTCTTTCTGGAAATTTAAGTCAATGGAAGCTAATTATACCTATTGATGCAATACCAGAATTGATGTGTGAGTAATATCCAACCTGACTGAGTGCTGCTGTGGTAACTTCTCTCTGTCCCCAGGATCTCCTCCATCACAAGCAGCCGATGGAGAGGTTTGCACACAGCAGGGCAAAGGGATGCAGCCCACAGCTAAAGGGGTGCTTTCCTGGGGGCACCAGCAAACAGGAAAAAAAAAGAAAATGTGGATATTGGAGAACTCAAGCTTTTCTATTGACAAAGCCATAGGCCGTTCCAAATCAGTTCAGTGTGTAATTTTCTTTATTTTTGTAAGATTACCATTGCTGATCCAGCAAATAAGCTGGATATGTTCAGCCTGGGGAAGAGAAGACCGAGGGGGGATCTGATTCATGTTTATAAATATCTAAAGGGAGGTGGGAGGCAAATGGATGAGGCCAGGCTCTTCTTGTTGGTGTGTAGCAGTAGGACAAGGAGTACTGGCCTGAACTTGAACATAGGAAGTCCCATACAAATGTGCAGAACTTCTTTACAGTAATGGTGATGGAGCACTGGAACAGGTTGTCCAGGGAGGGGGTGGAGTCTCCTTCTGTGGGGATATTCATGACCCACATGGACACCAACCTGTTGTAGGGTTCCTGCTTTAGCAGGGGGTTGGACTTGAGGACTTCTTGAGATCCTTCCAATGCCTGCAATTCAGACTGTGTGATTACTTGTTGGGACAGTTTTTGTACTGAATGGAATAAAGTCCTGCTCACTGGTCCCTAGGCAACTACTAGAACAAATCACTAACCACTAATTCACACACATCCATCAAAATAAGATCCACATTCATGTTATCCTTCAGTATCTTTTGTGCTTGAAGATCAGCACCTTCACTTTCCAGAAACAAATGATATTAATCTGCAGATTTGTTTAAAAAAGACAAGTGTTAAAAGGGTTTCGTTATAAAATTCCACAAAAGCAAGCAGTAAAATAGGTGGAATTTGAGCATGAGCAACAAAGAAAACAGCTGCTGTCCCCAGTGGAGTTGGAAAGCTGGGCTACAGATTAAGCTGTGCTGTAGCAGTGATCATGACAGGTCAGCACGGTGCCTCCCCCATCAGCTCCCATGTCAGCCACTGCTGGCTGCCTGCTTTTAGCCCAGAGCAGGAACTGGGAGCAGAAGGAAAAGAAAAACCTTCATTGATATTCACAATGATGTCTTACATGTTCAGCATTGTTTTTGTCTGAGGGAGCTCTTTTAGAAAATGTGAGAAAACAAGTTATTAGGTGGAAGAATGGTCATCAGAAGTGAAGAAAGGGTTCTGCTGGGAAGGAAGGGACTGTACTGCTCTGTGTATTGAAGTACCATGAATGCTTTTGATTATCATTTTGATTACTGTGTGCGTGTATTCGGTAAGATGGATTCAGATTGGGAACCGTAGAAAAAAACAAATTCATGATCTTAACTAAGCTAAACACCAGATTAGAAGCCTCTAATGATCAAGGCACATGAGTTGAATTTGCAGTTGACAAGTAATTGTTCCCTTGCACTGCCGGCATCAGAATGGTAGCATCCCTCCTTGTCCCCATTGCCTTGCAGCAGCATCCTGAATCCAGCGCCAGACCCAGCGCCGTCCCAGGGCTGTGCTGCCAGTGGGGACCTTCAGCTGGGGACCCGGCAGCTGCTGGGCTCTGCAGGAGCACCACCAGTGTCCTGCCTGTTGGTTCCCAAGCACAGAGCACAAACCCCATTTTCCAGCCATCCGGCCCCAGTGCGGAGCAGGCAGGAAGGAGCCTTGCCAGCTGGCTGCTAGCTGAGGGCTCCAGCAGGGAGAGGCCTGGACAAGG